AGCAGCAGAGCTCAGCTCTGTCCTGCTCTGCTCTGTGGGGGCTCTCAGGGTAGCAAAGGGATCACACATTTTCTTCCTGAGGATATAGCAAGGACTTTTCACTGTAAAAAGCTTTTCTTTTCCGTGATCTTTCTACACTTGTACTTTGACTGCCAGGCCTCACAAGGAAAATTTCTTTGTGGTCTAGTATTTGGAGGTTTTTTTTCATTGTTTTCTTTCTTTCTTCCCCTTGGGTAGCAATCAGTAAACACGCCAATGGTGTTAATTAGCTTAAAGAACACCTGAAACTTGGATTTGAGACTGAATGAGTGTTTCTATATACAGTAGAGTCTTTGCAGTCACTATTTACAGAGTTAGCTTTTCAAACGTCCAAAGGTCCAAGGAAACACAGACTATATCAGAAGACGATGCAAAGGAGGTGCTCAAAAGGATAAATCTTTTTTCTCAGGAAAGTGATAGTTCAGGGAGGGAATGAGATAGCATCTGTGAAAGCCTGTAAATTGATGAAAAGCAAAAAAGAGACTCAGTATGTATGAAAGAGATTAAATCAGAAAAACTGATTTAATTAAATCAGAAAAACTTTAAAACTTTCAAGAGTTTTGCCTTCATGACACTGTGAAATATCTAGTTTTATACCAATTCATTTCCAGACAACATTTCAGCAGCTGCAACTGTTTTACAGGATTAGAGAACAATTCATCTTAGAGGGGACTCTACATGTCATTTGGTCCAACCCACTGCTCAAAGCAGGACCAGCTTCAAAGTAAGATCAAGACCAAGTAGCTTGGGGCAAGTTTTTAGTACTTCCAAGTTTTTTTTTTGTTTGTTTGTTTGCCTGCTTTTTTCTCAGGAAAAGCTCTTGTGCTAAATTCATTTATTTTCATTCTTCACAGAATCACAGAATGGTTGAGGTTGGAAGGGACCTCTAGAGATCCAACCCCCCTGCTCCAGCAGGGACACCCAGAGCACGGGGCACAGGGTGGCATCCAGGCGGGTTTGGAAGATCTCCAGAGAAGGAGCCTCCACAACCTCTCTGGGCAGGCTGTTCCAGGGCTCTGTCACCCTCACAGGAAAGAAGTTCTTCCTCACATGGAGATGGAACTTCCTGTGTTTCAACTTCTACCCATTGCCCCTTGTCCTGTCACTGGCCACCACTAAGAAGAGTTTGGCCCCATCCTCTTTACATTCTCCCCTCATTCTTCAAAATGAACATTATCACAGGATAGAAAAGACTTTGCTTAGTATGAAATACTAGCAAAACTCCGCTAGTTAGTGCCACTACATGTGGGGGATTTCTAAGCAGGAGGTTTCACGCACAAGCAGAAGTCCTTAGTTCTCGATCCATTTTGATGCCCCCTGGCTCTTGCCCCTCTCCTTGAAGTGCTGTCCCTGGGAAATCCAGCCAAGGGTTCTCCACAGGGCCTGGGAGCAGCATCGGCCCCTCACTCCCCTCCCAGCTGCAGCCAGCAGTTCTAGCCTTTGATCAGATGAAAACGAGCCCACCAAAGGTGGACTGTGAAAGGTGCTGGTCTATCCTTCCCCTTGCTCTTTGCAACTTTCTGCAAGATGTTGCAGAAATGAGAAAGAAAGACCGTTAAGAAGAAAGCTGCTTTTATCTCAGAGAACACTAATTCTCAATATTAGCTGCTCCACAATGAAAGCAGCGAGAGGCCATAGTCTCTGTCTCAGTTTAATGACCTTTTTTTTATTTGGGAGTGATCTCACAGGGAAACACCACCTTTCTCCTGGAGACAGCTGTAGAAATTGCACCTCATCACTGTTATGTTTCAGGCAGGAAGGGAGCATCTCTCATGCAGCTGGGAATGAGCCTGTGAATCTAATCTAGATGTACCAGTAATGCTAGCCAATGCCTTTTTCCCAACCCTCAAAGAATACAATTATTAGCTTAGGAAGTAGGTTTTGATCCTCTGCTAATGGTTTTTGAGCATGGTGGCACCAGGAGAGCTATGTGCTTCAAAGACATTTGAACAACATTGACATTATGAAGGAATGTACGAGGGAGAGAGTAGGAGGCTGCCAGACTCCTCATTGGAAACTTCAGACTAGCTTTCCAGGTTAAAATAATGAATAATCCCCTTATCATTGGTTTGTAACTTAGTATTTTTCCTACCTCACTAGGGCAATGAGGATTGTCAGAAAAGAAAAGGAAAGGAAGCAGGTGGTGAAGAGAAAGAGTCTGCCTTGCCGAGAAAATATTCATAAGCAGGGAGGGCATCCCTGGATACCCAGGAAAGATCCCTATATGAGCAGAATTATCCAAACAACTACATGAAACTGTCCTCCCGCACCTAGTCTGGATTTGAAATGAGCGGCTTCTCCCCTGCCTTCACTTCCATGTAAAGGGCACATGCCTCAGCCTCTGATACTTCCATAGATGAAGTTTGCCAAACAAGCAGTTTCCAAAAGTGGATCCCTCAGCAAATTGACTCCATGATAAAACCAGCTGCATGCAGGTTAGGAAGGCAAGGCAGGACTCCTGCTTCTGAAACCCAGTCCAACAGTGGAGTTCCAGCTCTCCTTGGAGCAGGCAATAAATTGAGAAGGACATTGAAGACATCAGGGAAGGAGGAGGCAAATTTGCAGATATTGTGCCTGAAATAGCCCTGAGATTTCCACTCCATTGAGGGGCCATCTTGTCCCGTCACCTGAACCCGGTGTCTCCTTTCCCCAGGGAATATCCATAGCAATAATATACCATGAGCAGGAGGGTAGCTTTCCTCTCACAAAGTCCCATTACTAAACAGTTCTTATCGTCTGCTGATGCCCCTAGGAGGGTATAACTGGGGCTTTCTCTCCTGTTGCCAAAGAGGAGCTGCAGTGACCTCCTGTCTTCCTCAGGGTCTCAGGTCACAGAGATCACAAAATGCTTTCAGTGACCCCACTTCTTATCAACATTTCCCTCTGTCAGTCTCCACTCCAGCCCATGACATACCCACATAGCAGAGAGAGTTTCCAGTATAAAGCAGATTTGACTTAAGGAGGAGGGTCACCACTCTGCAAGGGTTAAAAATTAATAAGAAGCAACGAAGGGAAGCATAAAACTGGAGTTAGTTCCTTGTTTGTTTTCTAGCTCCCTGAAGTTAAAAAAAAAAAAAAAAAAAAAAAAAAAAAAAAAGCTTCCTTCAGTAGCCAAGGTTAGTTACTAGTGTGATTAGTATCAATTGTTCACTTCTTCCTGTTGGAATATCACAGAATCACTGACCCAGAGTCACTACCTTATAGCTGGGAAGGAGGCAGATGAAAGGGAGTAATAATAAATCAGCAAAGCTACTGACCAGGGTCTTCTCTTCAACATGACCACATGGTTCCTACCTGAGGTGGCAGGGATGGCACAGGCACTGACAGAGGGGAAGTTGTTAGAGATGGAGACAAAGAAAACTGTCTCTGTCAATAAGATGGACTTGAAAGGCGCAAGATTCAGTTCTAGGGTTACGATGAAAACTGTAGAGCATTTCTCTCTTTTCAGCTTTGGCCATTTCAATTCCTCCCTCACCGAGGTCCTCCTCTCAGAAAACCAATCCTGAAAACTCTCACCTGATCTATATGTTGGCAGCTCTGAAATATAAACCAAAGCAGCTGGAAGCTGTATCTGCATAAGGAGAACTGTGTGTTTCTTCTTTAAAAAGCCCGTTATGGAAATGCCAAACTGAAAGAGAAATAGGAGGCAGGAGTACAAGAGAGGAAGAAAGTAAAGAAGAGAAAGTCTTAGCTTAGAAAAGGCTCCCAAAGGAAGGAGGGTCAGGCCATAGCTTAGACATTTTTGAGCTTTTTCTTCACAATAGCCCTTATCAGGTGGCCTTGAGCATCCAAATATACTCTTAGAATTGTGGGGGCTCAGAGTCCTGATGAGTCCTTTATCTGGAGAGCAGATACACAGAGTTCCTCAGGGTCTGTTCTGAGCAATCTCCTGTATCTTTATCAGTGATGTGGAGGAGGCAGTGGAGTGCGCTCTCGGGTCTCAGAATTATGTCAAACCGGGGATACCTTCTGATACACACAAGGACAAGGGAGCCATCCAGAGGGACGTGGACCCGCTCAACTAATCAGTCAGCAGGAGCCTTATGGAATCCAAAAAGGAGATAAAACAAGCCTTGTCCTTGGGGAAGAAGCAGCCCTGCAACAGCACTGCCTGGGGAGCAGCTCTGAGGAAAAGGCCTTGGGTCATCCTGATGTGCAGCGTGCTGGACATGAGTCAGCAGCATGTCCTGACAGCAAAGGCCAGCAGCTGTATGAGAAGGTGGAGAATCAGAGATCAAAGGAAGTGAGTGTTCCCTTTTACTTTGCACTTGTTAGACTATGTGTGGACTATTGTGTATGGTTTTGGGCTCCTCGATACAAGATGACATCAGTGAATGGTAGCAAGTTCAGTGAAGGGCCACTGAAATGGTTGGAGGCTGGGCACTTGCCCTGTGAGAATATGTTTCCATCTGTGCTTAGTCACTTACATTTATGCATCTCTCAAAGCAAAATGCAGTGGTTTCCAGCACAGGCTCTTTCCTTAACCCCAGCAGGACAGAGAGAGATAGAAAGCAAGTGCGAACTTTCTCAGAGCAAAGCTCACTAAGACCCATCCACCTCCATTTCACCTTGGCTCTATTAGAGATTTCCTTCCTGGCCAGTCCCGCACCCCTCACACCCTCCTCACCACATTTTCAGGACTGTCCTCAAAGCCACAGCACCTGCTCAGGGTCTGTATCTCAGCTCTGCCTCACTTCCCTCACAACAATTATTTTTTTCCATGGGCTCTGCAAGCTTCTTTCGGTCACCGGTGATACCCCTTCTGTTTGGCAAGGGTGGCCCCAGTCCTGAATGACAGGCAGTTAACTGGAGCAGCACATAGCAACAACCAGCGGTGCCCTCAGGGTTTGTTGACGCTTCTCCCAAGGACTCCCACCCACTTCCCTGCCTCATATATTGCCTCCGTCCCAGCTGCTCTATGCATCACCTCTGTCCAGCAAGACACAGAGCAGATCCACACTATGCATCCTCTCATCAATGCCTTCCTCTTCCTGCTGGGCTCCTGCTGCCTTCGAGGCACAGAGGCTCGACAATTTGAGTCCATCCTCACTGTGCCCAATGGAGGACTCTGGGGCACTTGGGGGAAGCCACATTTTTGCCCCAAAGGTTACGCTAAGGGATTTGAACTGAAGGTAAGGTTTCACTCCTTTTACAAGGGCGGGAAAGAAAAAACCTCATTATGAAATTAGTTTCTCTCATTCAGGTCTCAGTAGGGCTGTCAGCAACACTTAGTCCCACTGCAGCAGTGTTTGCATTGTAACTTTACTGTTCATACAGGCTTATCAGCAAGAAATCTCTACTGCACATTAGCTCTTCAAACTCCCTTCCAATGAGTGATTTCTCACCAGGGGAGTCCATGGGATATGCACAGGCCAGGGATCTGTTCTTTACAGCTCATTCATTCCCAAAGGCCTGGATCAATTTCCACCTCTCAAGATTCTAGCGCTCGGGGTCAGTGCACACAACCAGACTGTGGGCATGTCAGAAGGGCAGCAGACACCAAATGTTCCTCTGTGTCCAGAAGCTCTGCTCTGCCATTCGGATAAGAACAGAGGTAGGCAGCAGCAAAAATGGCTCACTAGAAAAGGCTGTGGAGCTGCCTTATAAACTCTTTGCTTAGCAGCACTAAGATGTGTCTGGTTGCCTCTCTCAGAGTCTCCTGACACCTCTCCCAAGGCTCATTTTTTCTATCCTTTCTAATGGCACAGCAAGTTGGTCATTCACTGATGACAGTGACGCTCCCATGTTTGCCCACTCTTCTAAGGTGGAGTCCAAGCAGGGATTCTGGCTCTTTGGTGATGACACAGCTCTGAATGGCATCCGCCTGCTCTGCACAGACGGCACAACCATTGAGTCCTCAGTGGGGCGGTGAGTAGCCTTTCCTTTGTCATTCTTTCTTCCGAACAGTAGCTTTGGGTAAAAAATGAAAAGCAGTCCATTGTTCTTCTGTAACTATCCCCAAACTCTTGTGAAGGTGGTTCTCCTGCCCCACGTGTACCCTTTAGCCACAAAGTGTGAATATCTTAAGGTAATATCTTTTCCCAGAGAACGGAATAGATTTTGAAAAGATCCCGAAGTCAGGAAAGGGAACTGCAGGTATCTAATCCTGAGTATTTTCTTTTTCCTTTTCCTCAAATGCTTTGGAGAAAGACATTGATGTCTTATAATAATAGGGACGACAAAAGAAGCGGCTAAACTCCCCAGGGAGTCCTGTAGCAATAGGGCAGCCCAGGCCTGTTGATAGCTGGGTACCGAGGGGGAAAGACAAAAACACTCAAGGGAAGTAGAGTGAAAGAAATCCTCCACGAAATTAACTGTTCTGTAAACATCCTGCCCGAGGACCATCAAGGTTTCACGAAGGTGCAGGGTTGTTTTCAGGTGAGCAGAGGCTGAATACAGATTGGGAAGTTGTTTCTTCTCCCTGGCAGGTGGGGAACCTGGACAAAGGCCCAGTTCTGCACCAGTAACAAGATAATTTCCTTCTCACTGCGTGTGGAATCACAGCAGTATCTGCTTGATGACACGGCGGCCAACAACGTGATATTCCTCTGCTCTGATGGAACACAGCTGGAAGGCCATGGACTTTCAGGGGGTCAATATGGCCCATGGAGCGAAAGCTGCAAATCTGCAGCCGTCTGTGGGCTCCAGACAAAGGTAGCTAAACCCAAGGGAAAGGGGGATGACACAGCTCTCAACAGTGTGAAATTATACTGCTGTAGCTAAGTCCAAACCCTCTACCTCAGTATTCACAAGGTGATCCACCATTAAAGCTTGAGTTTGTCCTTATGCAAGGGGCGGTGTGCATTTTTTCAATCAAATTCTGCTGGGGGTAGCTGTGTAGGGCGGCTCCTGGACCCAATGGGTTTCCTCCTACCCCAGCCTGATGATTGTGATTCTTGGTCCCAGTTCTTTCAATATTGAGGCTCACCACATTCCAGTGGTGCATAAGCATGTGCACACACACAAACAAAATCCCTGCAGTCAGCCATAGACAAGCACAGATAGCAGTGCCTTTAGCAGCACCTATGTAGCTGTACCCACACACATGAGCAGCACGGATGGCCTGATCCTGTTCCTCTCCAGATGGTCAGGATTGATGTGCGCTAGTGAAATATATCCTCACTTTTACAGAATTGGCCTCCCAGTAGCTGGCCTCAGCCACCCAACCTATTCAGTAGCTGGCCTCAGACCCCAGTGTCCGCATGTGCTGGCTTCTGGATCCTTGAGCAGCGGAGAGTCATGGTCATCTCTGGCACCTGAGGTTCATTTACTGCAGTCACTGGCACTTGTTTCTCTTCTTCTGCTCACTGACAAATCTGGCATGAAATCTGCTAATGCTCCCACACACAGGCTCCAACCACATTGCACCCACTCAGAAGATAGCTAGAGAGAATGTTGTTACTATTATTAATAGTAGTAAACAGTTATGGTTATTAACCGAGAATATTTACTAAGCATAATAGCACAGGCTGAGGTGGTCAAGTGCAGGGGCTGGACAGACAAGACCTGTCTGACCTGCAAGACCAGTCAGCTGTTTACTCACAACCAGCCCCCTTTGTCCCCTTTTCCCTTTGTTTTCTGACACTTGTTCCTCCTCAGTCCACCTTGATCCCTTCCTTTCTCTGCCTTTGCTCTATACACTAAACATCCTATGTTCAGTCCTTGTGAGAATGATCCCACATTTCCATGATTGTGGGATCATTCCCACCATCCTCTTAAAATATTCTGCCATGAGCTCTTCCCCCTGCAGCCCATGGTGAGTCCTGCACCCCTGTGAGCCTTCAGCCCCCTGCTCTGAGGAAGAGGTTGACCTGTTGGCTCCCCTGGTTGGTTTCCCCTAGTGCTGTGGGCTGATCACTCACCTCTTGTGGCTGAGGGCTCCACTGGCACAGATAAAATTACAGGGGCATTGTCCTCTGCTGGGTCTTTGTGTTCATTTTGGTTAGACTTTATAACAAATTTGTAACCTAACAGAGTCTTGGTAATGAACACAGATGATGCGCATAACTCTAGCTAAGGCAGGAAGCAATAGTGTAAGGGCTGGGCAGAGAAGGAGGAAGATAAGATGTCTTACCTACCCTGGCAGAAAACATGGATTTTATTAGGGGGTAAACCTCTTGTTTTCAAGCAAGGAGAAGGATATCTCTTCACCCTCTCTCTATTGTTATGTTTAGGATGTGGAAGGCTGGCCAGGATACAACCACAAGCAGGTCCATAACCACCACCCAGCCTCTGGCCCCCACTATGTGCCTCACCTCCAGTCTGCTCAGCCCAGCATCTCAACATCACCTCCTTGCCTTGTCCAAATAAATCACCTAAATTCTTGAAAATTTTTGTTTCCTGAGTTCCACGATTTAATTTGCAGAGAAGTCAAAATCTACTATCTTATAGGTACCTCTCCTGAACTCAGCATCATCTCCTTCAGCACCAAGAACCTTTGTTCAGGTCTTCTCCGGAGTTCTTATCTTGTCCTGCTTTCCTGTTCATTAGGCAGGACTACATATAGTAGGACTCTGACCAGGATAACAAGTATGGGATGAGAAATAAGCTCAAATCCATGTCTCAGTGGGTACTATGCTGGAACATTTTCTACTTTATAATAGTTTTGACAGTCTGTGCATGCCAGAGAAGTCCACAAGCAGAAGGAGAACTCAATATAGAAAGGAAGAAACTGGAAAGATGAGGCAAATCCCTAAGTGAATTGCAAATATTTCAACATAAACTCTTTCCTCAGTATCAAGAGTATAGAGAAAAGGCAGAAAACTCAGGAAGATGTAGAAGTGAGGGAGAGGTTCATTAGCTTTGTAAAGTTCATTGCTACTTTATGCACTCACATATTTGAAATTTGCTTGCTTTAGTATTCTCTTTGAAAGAAATTCCTCCATAGTGGGATTCTGAATAGTCCTTAGTAGTCCTTAAGAGCACTATTTTCTATGCACATATCTGAGCATACAATCATGGCTCGCTCAGTGTTATGTTTGTTTAAGCCCTGTTGGGAATGCAGACTTTCCAGTGGGTTCCAAAGCCTTAATAGTGCCAACATTTGCCTTTATACATCCAAATGGACCGTCTGCCACTTTGTATGGAGCTAAGAGAAGCCTCACACTAAGTGTATTTGCAAGTATATTTAACCCTTTCCACTTGCCCTCAAAGGACAAGGTTTTGCAGATCCAAGAGATAATATTTTTACAATGCATTCAGTCACTTACCTTGTTCCATAACTATATTTTTAAGCCCCAGAGAGCCATTGCTGTGCTAACTCAGCAGAGCGCAATTGCAGTACATATCACTGTGTGCATGAACTGGCAACCATGTCACATATCCTAATAGGTAAGATGCCCAATCTTAAGAGATACAGGCCTTCTTCCAGTAGTTCTGTTTTATGAGATTGTGAATGTACAATTAGATATTCTAGGAAAATTCACAACTCATCATCTCACTTGGAAGAATGCTCCCCCAAAGCAGTCTGAAATATACTGAGATAAAAATGATGATATGCTCGTCACGAATATCTCAGGAGGCTTTTATATTATTTTTGTATGATTATTTCATTTTAATGTTACTCATTCAATTAAGAGAGTTACTGTACACAGCACATTCCTTTATATGACATTAAACATAAAAAACACTGTGTCTACACAGTCTTCTGCAAAAGTACTAGTTATTGGAGACTTTGTTTGATCTTCCTGCTCAATTCTTGGCCTTTCCCACTAATTAGGAAAAACCTTGGCTGATGTGAATACAAATACAACAGAAGGTCCTCCAGAATAACACATATCTAGGTGAGAAGATCCAACAGTGAAATGGTGAAAGAAAAACCTTATCCATTTCTGCTTCAGATTTATTATTTGATTAATGCAAGATTTTATGTATGCCGCTACTCTGTAACAGTGACTCCTAGGGCTTGCTATGGTCCATCACAAAGTGACGGACTTTTGTCAGCTCTTCACTTCCTGTCTGTTCATACAGTGACACAAAGAACATCTGTAATTCACAGGCATGCAGCTCCTCTGATCAGAGGAAAACCTGCTGATTGCCGTGATGAGGCTAGTGCCCCATGCTCTGACTTTTGTTGTAATTTGAGCACACACGTTTGCACGTGAACCCTCCTTATTCCATCTAAGAAATCAGTGCATTTTGGAGAAGTCCTGGGCCTGTTTGGCTCCTGATGCAGTACCTAGAATAGTCTTCTCAGAGTATAAGTCGAGTAATAAAAACAGAGTAGAGTGGAAAGAACTTGGGAAAGTTTTCTAGTGTTTTCCTGGGGAGTACAGAAGGAAGAAAGACAACCATTTGAACTTTGGTCATGTGGGGCATAAATAGCTTCTGGGACTTAGCGCCACTGGATACAACCAGTCACAGCCATATAGGGCATAAACTCCTAAAAAAAAAAAAATGGATTTAGACCTGCCTACAGATCACAGAGGTAAGTACAATAATGTGAGCTGAAATTACAAATATTAAGACTGGAGAACAGCTCCAATTAAAGTTTTTCAAAGTATTCATGGCCCACATAAACTTGCCTCTAAGCACATCTAGCAAAGTAGCTTTGTGATTGCAATAGAAGGTTTCTTCTTTCTTACTTAAAACCAGCAAGTGTTGAACTCTAACCTGAACAGGAAAATAAACCACATACATTGGTACCAGTTTGGGTGACATTGCCATCTAGAAGCACTCTTACAGTTACCAGCATTCTCATCTTTCGATCCAATCCCATTCCCTTTAGGAAAAATGAATCTGTAGATCTGCAAAGTCTGTATTGAGCCCTCCACTGAACAAATACCGCCAAAGTTTAGAGCTCTTCCAATCCAGCTTGTTTCCTCTGAGAACATGTTTAATGAGGCACTTATTTATGTTTTCTCTGAAGAAGAAATTCTTCATCTGATCTTATCTGATATTTTTTATTTTAGTAGAAGATTTGGCTTTACTTTCACAAGTGTGCCTTTGACCTGTAATAAAATTCATACTGAAGTAATGGCTAATTCAGACCAACCAAGTAATTTTTCCGGTAAATCTAAAGGAGAGCACAAACAGCTACATCCCTTTGACCTTTCCGTGACCCTTTCCAGAAACGAGCCCACGTTTTGAGGAGCAGAACAAAATTTCTTATGTTGTGGTTCTGCAGGGTCATAGCAGAGTGCTGCCTATGTCCACACAATTAGAAAGGAGGTTAACAAATTGCTAAAATGCATGTCTGCAGTGGGCAAAGCAGACAGAAGGCATATTTAAGTGGGCTGAACGGTTTATTAAATGAGATTATAATAGATACTTTGAACCTTGTCAAGTGTCATTTAAGATGAATTGCAGTAATTTCTTACCTCAGGAAAATCCATTAGTTTAAAAAAAAAGGGGGGGGGGGGAACCTGTACTGTCTGTTGATGCAAATCAGTCTCATCCCTCATTACTTTTGGTTGGATTTTTTTTTCTTTTTTTTTTCTCTTTTTTTGTTGTTTAGCCCTTTACAGCTATGTTGGTGATATTGCTGCAGAAGAGACTTAGGAAAAAAAACCTAAATCTCATGTTATACTTCTGTCTGATAAGATTTTGATGTCTTGGTGTGGGGAAATGCAGCAAGAAAACCGCTATGCACTGTGTAAACTATCCCGTTCCTCACAATGCTTCCAAGCCTCAGATTTGTAGGACTGTCATCTTGTTTCAAAAGAAGAGGATTCCAAGAAGGTGCCACAGTTTGAATGCTATGGGAAAAATCTATGTCTTGACTGCAGTTGTGGGACGTATTCCAGAGGTTCGTTATGCAGCTGTTTTTTGTGATTCACCTCAAAGGCCTGTCAAGAAACAACTACTCTCTAAGCACTTGATTCCTCTTCTCTTAATATTGCTTGTCTGCTTCTATAGAACTGACTAAATGTACCTCTGTCATTTGCAATAACGTAATAGGCCTGAAAATTACCTAGTGTCATCTTGTGTCTTCCACTTAGGTGTAGAAGATGCTTTAAACCTAAATTGATGTCTTTATTATACCTCTTTCTTTTTGTTATTTGTAGAACTCTCAGATATTTGCTCCAAGGAATTGCAAGGGGGAGAAATAAAACAGTCCTGATTTTGGTGTTATTTTCTTGGGCTGGAAAAATATTTCATACAGATTTCAGGTTTACTATTTCAGTTTAATCTGTCTGCATATTTCCTGTTTTAATTAAGCAACCTATAGATATTCCACATGCTGCAGTTTGGTAGGGTCTGGTTTCCAGGGTAGATTGTCAGGAAACTACACAATGAAGCAGCTCTGTTCTCATTACACA